TGTAGGACCTCTATGCTTCTTTTTGTTTTTCTTCATTTGTGCGGTTTTTCCCCCTCTCTACTTTTTCCTTCCCTCCACGTCACTGTCTTCTTTAATTCTGTTATTCAGGGGTAAAGGGATTGGTTTTACTTCTGTTTGTTCAATCTCCTATTCTTTATGTATGTCCTCTTACTTTGTTCAATTCTGAAGTTGCACTGTAGGTTGGAGGTGGTCCTTTTTGCAGTTTTGAGATGTATTTAAGGGGAGAGTTATGATTCAAAATCTGTCTGCAGGTCCTGGTATTCACTGACAGGCGTGTGGATAATGTGGAACCCACTTCCCACTGTCCTGGAATCTGCCCGTGCAGTGGGGCTGTAGGTTTACTCCCTGAAATAAAATGTGGTTAGCAGAGGGGAGAGAACGGAGTAGATAGTGGGTTGAAGAGGGGAGTTGAGAGATAAAGGAGTAAGGGGGGAAACAAACGAGTGTGCCAACAAATAGAGAGAGAGGCCTATACTGAAACAGATAAAAACAATAGACTACAGCTACAGTCGAACCAACTCTCATACAAACAAAAATAAAACATATTGTGATGCTAATATACAAGCTAACCAACCACCTTGTTAGAGTCCTGTTCCTCTATACAAAGATATGGTTTACAGAGAGAAGAAAAGAGAAGAAAAGGAAAAGGAAAAAAGAAAAAAGGGAACAATACAGTAGGAATAGAATTAAGTCATTAAACTGATAGAATCAATGAAGCACACTCTGAGACCTTTCTTTTAAGTTCAATGTCCTTTCAGGTCTGATTTCTAGTTTTCTTTTCAAGCTGGTAAATTAGTTTGCAGTTACAGTCAATTGCCCCTGATCTGCTGTGAAGGACAGTTCAGATTAACCTTCCTTCAGCAGTTTGGTCTATGTCTTTATCAAGCTTGTTTCTCCCGTTTCGGTGTTGTTAACTTGAATCACCAGCAGGCGGTGCTATCTCATCTGCTCGCCCCAGAGGGGGTGGGGTTGGACAGTAACAAGATGGCTGCCTGCCTCCGAGCAGGCAACAGGAGCCCCACTCCGGGTGGGCAGGACAGTCTCAGATGCAGGATAGGTGGCAGCGATCCCAGCAGATCTTCCCTGGAGCGGTTCGTTGTGGATCTCCTCGGGCCGCGTGGTGCGATATGCTACCCCTCCCAGAGGCCGTGGCGGTGGTGGCGCTGGTGCCGGCAGCGGCAGTGGCGGTGGGGGGAGGGGTGGCGGCGGCGGAACCGTTTGGAATGCAGTCAAAACTGTCCAGTCGTTCCGATGGCAGCGGCCGAGGTCTGTCTGTAGAGCAGGCTGTGATGCTGGGGTCCCCAGCCCCCCGGGGTGAGAGTCAGAGACCCACTGCAGATCTCCTTTGCAGAGGGCTTCAGACACCGGGTTGCCCTGTCGCCATCTTGTAAAATATTTTTTACAGAGAAGTTTGCTGACTCCTGGCCTAATATATTAAAGTGATTATTTTTTTCCTAAATTATTTGCACAATGTCAAATCTACAGAAAACTTCCAAGAAGAGTATAATGAACACCGATATTCAGATGGTTGCATATTAATATTGCTTAATATTTTGCCACATTTGTGCTCTTTCTCTCTACACACACACACACACACACACACATACATACATACACACTTATGTACATACATAAACACTCCACTGGCTGCAGTATTTGAGAATTAGATGCAAATATCATAACTCAGTACTGATAAATACATCAGTATATATTGCTTAATAATAAAGACATTTTTCTCTATTACTATAGGAATTAACACTGCCGCAACAAATAGACCATATCCAAATTTTCCCAATAATGTCTTCTATAGAAAGACATTTTCTTTTCCTTTCTTTTCTTTTCTTTTTTTTTTAGTTGGAGTCTCACTCTGTCACCCAGGCTGGAGTGCAGTGGCACGCTCACGGTCACCGCAGCCTCGACTTGCTGGGCTCAGGCAATCCTTCTCCATTCCTCTTTATATGGAACAGATTAGCCATGTCATCACACACTTCTATTGGTTCATACACTGTGATGGCAACAACCATTCATTCATTCAGTCAGTGATATTTGCTGGGGCTCACACTATGCTCTGGGCACTGTTCTAGGTAGTGGCACAAAGCAATGAAAAGACTGACTCGTTTTTTCTCTTATGAAGCAGATGCCCTACTGGGGAAAGAGATCTCACACAAGCATGCACACACACACACACACACACGAACACAACACTAGAGAGTGACAGTGCCTGATAGCTGATTTTAAAAAGGTCAAGAGTGACTGGATGACTGCTCCATACTGGGTGCTAAAAAAGGCCTTTTGAAGAATGACCTTTAGGTTGAGATCTGAATGACAAGATGAACCAGCCAGAGGAAGAGCATCTAAGCAGAGGAAATGGCTAAAACCCTAAAGAGAAATGGGCCTGGCAGTGGATCCCAGTGCTACAATCCTGTAAGCCTGCAGTGCCCAGGACAGCTCCCCACAATGAAGAATTATCCAGCTCCAATGTCAGTAATGCCATAGCTGAGGAACCCGGTGTTAGAGGAACAACAAGGAAGGTAACTGGGACTAAATGATGACCCACACTGGACAGAGCACTGGAAATTAGTTTAGTGGGCGAGGCAAGGTCACGTAGGGCCTGGGAAACCCAAGCAAGGAGTTTGGATTTTATTCTAAGTATCATGGGAAGGCCTTCAAAGACTTTCATAAGGGAAATGATGTGTTCTGATTTACATTTCATAAAGATCATGATACAAAACCATTTTCTTTGCTGTCTTCCTTATTCTCCTCTTTCCTCTGTTTCCTTTCCCTCCCCATTCCTACTTAAGGGAATGGCCTTTGTGTCAAGTGCTGGGCTGCATATTGAATCACCCTCTTATATGTTTTGTGAGGAGGTGTCTAAACTTTATTCAAATGAATGATGTCACTAAAATGACATCATTTTCATTCCCTTTGCAGGAAGATTCAACATTGTTCACAGTCATTTTAGTTGCATGACTGTCTTTTGTTAAGCTCAAGTGTAATCATGTTTGATTTTATTTTTTTCTAGAAGCCATATCTTTCCCATTCCTCCTGACGCAATATTAGCTTTCTGGGTTCTGCAAAGAGATATGAAAATAACCTTCAAACCCAACTCTGAGTAACTATGAAATTTCAGGACTCTTTTTGGGTCAATAGCCTTTGAGAAGTATAAGCCTTGAAATGATGAAATCTTAGCTGCTGTTTTCCCTTCTTCTGAGTTTACTCATTGTCTATATAGCCATGATGTAACACTCTAGGGTGCTCAAGCCACTTGCCAGCTTTGGTCAAGTGAGCTTGGAAGGACATGTCTTATGCTTCTGCTCCTGAAGAGCAGAAACAGCTTCATTGAGTAGTAATAGAGGTAATAAATAAAGAGTCAGAATTTCAATCAAAGTGTGAATTTAAGTTCAATATTCTTTCTACTATGACGTCTTCCATACCATCATTTTGAATATGAGTCTCTGGTGGAAGGAGCCCTGTTTGAATTATTCACAGTTAGTAGAGAATCTAACATTGTCCCACATGAATAGCGGTGCCTGGATTCATCACAGAGAAGAAGGGATATGATGTATATCTCTCTTTAACCCTCTTTAAAAAAAATAAACATATATGAACAAGCCTGGACTGTTCTCTCTCTGTCATATCTCATTTCATCCCACCTATATGCACAGACATTCATAAGCCCAGAAAGGGATTAAGAAGTTGGTAGGAGTATTCAGGGAAGAAGATGCTAGACTAGAACCAGGGCCAGGAAAAGAAGCAGAACTCAGTCTGGGGCTGGGGCCAGGACAGAGATCCAGGCTGAGACTATCCCTGGAGATAGATGGAGTAAGAGGACAGAAAAGGAATGCAAAGGGGACAACACTTGCGGATAGCACTCATAGACAAGGGCTTGTGTGTGGGATGATTCACTGTCGAACTTACTGTTACTGGTTGGATAATAAAGCAGCGAAAACTTACTTGAATCTGACACACAGGGTCTGCTAATGCTCAACTAAAATCAGGCAGCATGCCTACTTTATATTTGGTTTATTTTTACCTCTTGATTACTGGATTTCCTTTACGTAGAGTATTTTTAAGTGTTTTATACGATAGCTGAAGCTAAAGTGTCTTTTTGTAATTAAAAAAAATGAACAAAATATCTGTTTATAAGGAACTGACCAAAAGGATTTCTTGCGCGTGTTCACATTCTGCAAATGCAATGGAAATGTCAATCTTTTTCAAAAAGCTTGGAAGACAAAATGAGAAACATTGCTGAAGAAATATTGGAGAGTTCTGAGGTCTGATCAACCCAATGGGGGCTCTTTAGAAGGAACCACTTAGTCTGGAACTGGAGGCAGCATACACTCCCATGGGCTGTTACTACCCAAAATACACTGTCTCTGGGAGGCAATAAGAATTTTCTCTTGTTTGGTACTGATCAATTTAACCTAAAAAAAAAAAAAGAAATTCTATCTTGAACATTCATCTGTACTCACTTCCAAATTTGGGAACATATTTGTAAGTGGAACCCAACACAGTAGATCTGGCTTTTAAATAAAAAGTTACATTTAAATCAATCTCTGCTCTTCATAAGCTAAATACCATTTGTCATTTTTCAGCTATCATTTGAGTTTCACCCACACACCAGCCACAAATTCCGGGCCATGGTGAGGCTGTGGTCAGCCTGGTGTCCGGTCAGCTAGCTAAAGATAACCAGCTAACTTACTGGATTAGGACTAAAACACAAAGAGCACAGCAGAGAAGTTAAAAAAAAATTTTAATGTTAAGAAATGGGTAAAAAAGTCCACACTTTTCAATAAACTGAAATGTTCGGTGCAAAAGTAACTATATCAGACTAAAAGCAAAGTAAATTTTTTTTTTTACAGCAACTCTTTTTCACTAGTTGCTACATTTTGTTTGCTGAAGGGACATTTTACTTCTCAATGGAAGGAAGCAATGTAAATTGGAAGCTGTAATACAGCCAGGTGAAGACATCTCTTTACCACTTTCAAGTCAATACAGAGAAAATTTCTCATCACTTCATAAAGGATACTGATTTCATTATCTCTCTGCTTTAGAATATCTCGTAGTTTTTTAAATTCTTCCTCTTGTAGTGGTTCATGGCAGTCTTGGTTTTTGCTTTCAGAGGAGACGTTACTCTTTCCAAGGATCTTCTTGTCATTCAATAGTTTCTGTAAGATAAAATAAAAGCTTAGCATCCATACCTCTTTTCCAAATCCCTTTGTTTCTTTAACTCTTTTTCCTTCAACAATTCCCTGACACATGAGGCATGCGTGCCCTTTCCTGCCTCCTCGTCTCTGTGATGCAGTTTTTTGTTTTATTTTTTTGCTTGGTGTATCCTCTGTCTTCTACCTACCTTTTCTCCCTTCCTCTCTCCCTTATCTTTCCTTCTGGAAATTGGGAAATGCCTATTCAACATTATCGTCTGAACTCTTTTCCCTTTCTCTATACAGTGTACTTTCTCTATACTTAATTCACGCTTCTATTATAGCACTTATTATGCATTGTGTTTATTCTTTACATATCACTTGCCTTATCTGTACCTGGCCCATAGTAATTCACAGCAAATGCTTATTACCTTAATGAAGTATGCAAAAATACAAGTGAGCTAAAATAAAAAGTTAGTGACATTCCCACTCCCTCATCATGAAAGTTAAAACCTAAGACAGATAAAAAAAAAACTGTGAAATCATATGCATAAACAAAAACTTCTGAATAAAATGCAAGACATAATTCTCTTGATATAGTTTGAAAATAAATGGGGTTAGGTGCAGTGGCTCATGCCTATAATTTCAGCACTTTGGGAGGTGAGACAACAGGATTGCTTGAGCCTATGCGTTCGAGACCAGACTGGGCAACATAGCAAGACCACATCTAAATAAATAAATTTCAAAATATGAAACTACTCTATATACAAGGTAAAGGTTCCTGGAAAAAGAATAGGAAGTCCATGGTCAGAGCTTATTTATTTATTTATTTTTTTGGGTCAGAGTCTCACTCTGTCGCCCAGACTGGAGTGCACTGGGCGCTCCCGGCCACCGTAGCCTGCCTGCTGGGCTCCGGTGATCCTTCCGCCTCAGCCTTCCGAGTAACCGGAATTACAGGCATGCGCTACCACGCCCGGCTGACTTTTTAAAAAATTTATTTATTGTAGAGATGAGGTCTCGCTGCCCAGGCGGGTCTCGAACCCGCGGGCTCAGGCAATCCACTCACCTCAACCTCGGTCAGAGCTTATTTATTGGCAAGTAATATATAACCTCTGAAAAAACTCAGTGATAACCCCATAATTGGTTCAAAGATCATACCATTTTTTGGACATGTGATGTTGGGTCCTAACCTTTCAAGGGTTAGCCAACTTGGAAAGCTTTATTGCAGCTTGAACGTGGCAGAAAATGGCTTATACTGGAGGAAACATTTAAATTTACCTTTAAATGATGAAAACAGTGATGAATTTTACGCATGTCGGCGCCAACCTCCAGTCTGCGCTCTGGATCCTGGTCTTCCAAAAAGGATGTTATTAGTTTTTCCAGCCTAAAATATATATAATATACGAGAAGTAACTGTGAGCTAGAAACTTCAAAAATTCTAATGGCCTTACTGGTTGGTTAATGTCTAAAGTACTTTTGAAGTACCTCTTTATGGAAGTATTGTTATGAAATCTGACTATAAAAATTAAGGGGAAAGAAACAGATTGACAGAGTAAAAATTGCAATGATGCAATTATTCGAGTAATTTCCAGTGAGTTTTTTATGCAGCTTTCAACATAAGACTATTTTTATTTCAGCAGTCCATCCATTCTAGCCAAGCTGAATTTCTATGCCCCTGTGCCTGGCTGCCACATTGCTAGAAAAAGCAATGAAAACATTTTTTTATTAGTGTGATTAAAAATTCATGCTCCTCAGCCTCAACCAGCACCTCAGTGATGCCCCCATTATCTTTTCAATCATCCCAGGTTGACTTATAATCTTCACAGTGGCTATTCCAAATCTTTCTACAACCCCTAAGCCTACCATTACTTGTCCACTCTGTCAATAAAGTTCCTTCTTGCCAGACCGAGAAAGTCAAGCAGACTCCTTTGGTTTCCTTCTCCTTCATCTCAAAGTGTCTCTGCTTCCCCACTCAGGCTGTCTTCCTACTTTTATATATTTTGGACAATATCCCTTCTTTTTCTCAAGGCCAATCTCCCCTTGGGTTTTCTCTCTGCTTCTTCCAGGGCTTCTCTGATTAATCTCCTCCTTTCTCTTATTTACCTCTTCACCACCTCTCTATACTCTTTTCTCTCTGCTTACAATGGTTTTTACGTTTTTTTTCTATTCCAAAACAAAATAAAATAGAAAGCAAAATGCGTCCCTTTGGAGGGACTATACAACTACTCTGTTTTGAAGTCCTAGTTTATTTTGTATCATCATGTGCCCATGTTGCCTTCTAGAGTCTGCAGGCACCTTAGCTCTTCCAGGACTTTGTAAGTATCAGGAGGCAATTCTTGGCTCTCATTGGTTTTTGTGTCTCCCCTCCTCCCACATTAGGTTATCAGTTCAAATAAGCTCACTAGTTATTGGATTTATTGTCATGATAATGATTCCCCTCTATGTTAAACCAGAGCTCTTAATAAGGAAGGTCTAAGCCCAAGGGTTTGAAACCAGTCTTGGCAATGTGGCAGGACCTTGTCTCTACAATAAGTAAAAAAATTAGCCGGGCGTAGTGGTGCCTGCCTGAGGTCCGAGCTACTTGGAAGGCTGAGGTGATAGGATCACCTGAACCCAGGAGGTCGAGGCTGTAGTAGCCATGAGCATGCCACTACATTTCAGTCCAGGCGACAGAGTGAGGTTCCTACTCAAAAAAAAAAAAAAAAAAAGAAGAAGAAAGAAAGACGTAAAGATGCCAGTCAATGTTTAAGATGCCAGGTACTGTAACAGCGACAGCATATCTTTCTAGCATTATGATGAAAATATTTGCCTACTTCCAGCATCTTTTAAAATGTACACATTTCCTGGCTGAGGTGGAAGGATTGCCTGAGCCCAGCAGGTTGATGCCGGGGTGGCTGCGAGCATGTCACTGCACTCCAGCCTGGGGGATGGAGTGAGACTCCAACTCAAAAAAAAAAAAAGCACACATTTCCCTTCCACTGTTACTACCAGCCCACTCAGACATGATATATTGACTTCTATCATATCATTAATTTCATTTTCATCTCTTTCTGTAATTTGTGACTTGTGACAGCTAATGTTTACAAGTGTGAGACAATTTATATTTTAATTTTTAGGGATTTTCTTCAGATGAAGAGATACTTGTCATTTGCACTATTTGTTGATTGACATTATGTTTCCTTTTGGAATACAGCTTCAAACCACAGATACACAGAGAGATTTACTTCTGATACAAATAATTTTTAAACAATTGTATACAATATTATAAAAATACATGTTTATAAACAAAACTCCAAATTATACAGATATGAATAAATTAAAAAGTTAAAAACTCTCCCCCCTCCCTTGCCCTTCTAATAATTATATATTTCTAATAATTATATAATTATTTCTAATAATTATATAATATTCCATACTATGGATAGACTGTTCCTCTCATGATGACACTGAGGTAACATACTCATAGTGCTACTTTCCTCCATAATCCATGAGAAGAACTTGATTTATAATCATGTCTTATAAGGCTTAAAAAAAAAAAAGAGAGAGAGAGTAATGTTTATCTACTTGTGTTCTCCCTGAATATGTAGCAGAAATTCTGAAATTTTGAAAATCACCATGAGTTAGTTCTAAAATATGCCCATTCTCTGGAATGAATGAAAGAAAGTGCTATGTGGTTTCTGGTCTCCATAAAATTTCTAATGGACGATATTACATCGGAAGTAAAGTTATTCAATTCCTTCACAACTTCTGTACAATTTGATCATAAAGTATATATTGTAGGAAACATTCTCTGAAGGAAGGCTGAAGGAGACTCCCAGCTCACAAGAAAGCATTGCAAGACACAAGCCTGCTGACTGTTTGAGTGACCACTCACAGATCCCTCTGCCTCACTGAGCTTTGACTGGAACAGTTAAAGGTTCCTGTCCCACACAGTGACAGTAGAGGGTATAGGGAGGACCAGGGAAATGATCCAAAGAATTAGGTAAGAACTTGTGCCGAAGTGAAATCACAGGATTGCTTTACTCTTTCTGGGACTCGATTGGTCTGGTACATACCCAAGAGTGGAGGTCAGGCCTTTTAACATGCAGTTTTGCTCTCAGTGCTTGAGAACACAGAGATAAGAAAAATGTCTGGTCTTTCCTTCACACATTTGATTTATTGTAGTATTTATTTTCTTATCAAGCAAGAACTTGGTCTAATAATTAAAATGCAGCAAAGTGCTTAATTCATTTGTTTTTGTTGCACTTCTCTAGTAGTTAAGGGTAAACGAATGACCCTAAATTACCCACATTTTCCTATCTCCCAAAATAGTTTCCAAGTTCATACCTAGGCCCTGCTCCCACTGAAGGGTCTTCCAGTTGCCAGAACCCTGCTGGACAGCAGAGAACTGTTTACAGAAAAGGCTGTCTAAGGAGGTCAAGTGAGTACAATTGAGCCTGTTCTTTAGGAAAAGCCCAAGTCAACATGAAACTTTACTTGTCCTCTACTCTCACTAGAAAAAAAAAAGAAGAAGAAGAAGAAACAATTTTGGGGAAAAAGTAAAAATAAATGTACACAATTTAGTTCTAGTCCACATGAACAAGAAATACTGTAGATAATCTAAGTGTGTCTGAACACATGACCTGTAGTGATTGCTAGGAGTTTGGTGACTAGATGAATCTTCATCAAACACTGCTGATGAGATGTCTCTGACAGCCTGTGATCCAGTTCAGCAACTCTATCACATCATAAGTTCTGATACCTGACCTGTAGAGCCACACATACTCAGTGACAACATGAGTACACCCTGGATATAGCCCCAAACAGGGGGTTGGAGCCTGAGGAGGGGTCCCAGGGTCCCAGGGTTCCAGGGGTGGCCAACCCAGGACACTTCCTTCCCCTCAGGTTCCATGTCTGGGCATGCCTGTTGTTACAGGAAGATGTGTTCTCCAGGCCTTCTGACCACATCTTGTAGCTCTGCATAGAGAATGTTCTGGGCACCCTTCCTTCGGGCAGTCCCTTTGCCTGCTTCATACCAGATAGGGCCTACCTGAAACAATGCTTATAACCTTTAGTTACCTTTAGTTCACCTTTATTTCATGATGGTACCAAAGATCCCATCCCCAGAGAGAATTTGCAGCCATTTTGGGTACATGTGACACATGTACGAGCGCATTCTCACAATATGCCTGTGCACTAGAAACTCCACTCTTTTCACTACTAACCTTGTACTCCACTCAGTGTAATAGGCAAGATAACCTGTGTGCCTTTTATTATCAGGAGTGGCTTTTCCCTGTCCTGCTGGCTGGCTGTTCCTGGACCACCTTTCTGGTATATAAGTTCCTGAATAAAGCCCATCCATTGTCTCTGGGTCATTTCTTTGGCATCTGGGACACAGTGCCTTCCTTTCTGGGGTCCTTGGGGATCCAGCACTGTATGGCCACATAATGACCATATTTCCTAATATGTGCTTCACCCTCTTGAGACTACTGTACTCTTTGTCAAAAACAGTCAAGTTCTGTCTGTAGCCATCTGTCTGAGGAAACATAGATTTAATAGTATGAATAAAAAGACAAAGCAAACTTCTGGTCATTAATAATAGCCCATATTCTTTTTATTTTATTTTAAATATGTGGGGTACAATTCAGGGTTAAGTATACAAATGTTCATTATGCAGGTACCCTTGTTGAAGAGGTGTGTCCCCCACTCCGGCAGTTTCCCACTACTGCCAGTCCTGCCCCCCACCCTTCCCTGGCAGTTTCCCACTATTACCAATCCCTTTCTTATAGTATGACAATAGTTGTTCAAGTTCCACTTATGAGTGAGAACATGTGATACTCGGCTCTTTGTTTCTGTGATAGATCTCTCAGTATTATAGTATCTAAGTCCATCCAAATTGCTGCAAAGTTCATAATTTTGTCCTTCTTTGTGGCTGTGTAATATTCCATCATGTATATGTACCACATTTTTTATCCAGTCCTTTTTTAATGGGCAGCACAATTGGTTCCATGTTTTTGCTATTGTAAATAATGCTGCCATAAACATGCATGTGCAGGTATCTTTTTCTTTTTTTTAATTAAAAGATTTTTTTTTATTTTAAAGATGTGGGGTACAATTCAGGGTTAAGTACACAAATGTTCATTATGCAAGGTACCCTTGTGGATGAGGTGTACCCCCCTCTCCTGGCAGATTCCCACTACTGCCAATCTTGCCTCCCCCTTGCCCCTGGCAGTTTTCTGCTCCTGTCAATCCTTTTCTTATAGTATTACAATAATTGTTCAAGGTCTGCTTATGAGTGAGAACATGTGATACACAGTTCTTTGTTTCTCTGATAGATCACTCAGTATTATAGACTCTAAGTCCATCCAGGATGCTATGAAGTTTATAATTTTGTCCTTCTTTATG